CGAACACACTTTCATCCACACATCGATGGATATAGAACAAAGCTTTATGGTCCCTCTTCCTCATCATCCTCTCAGTAGTTCTCTGTTCTTCAATTGCATCTGTTGTAGCTGGTACATAACCATCTGTAACCAGATCCAGAACATCTTGTGCACCAAACAACACACGCATTTGTATCATCCATCTGTTCTAGTTTTTTCCATTAAAAACTGGAAGTTTGATGTTCAAACTACTGTCTCCACTAATTTTAAACCTTGCACGAATTTTTTGTTCAAGATTTCATAAAAAAAGAACCAAAATCAAACACACAACTCACAATCACTCGTGTTTCCCAGGAAAACAGAACTAAGTGATCTTGATACCAATTTGTTGGTGCAAGGTAATGAAAGAGGAGAAGAAGAATGAGCAATGAATGATAACAAAGAGGAATACTATTGTATATCAAATAGAGGAATGAATGAGTTACAATATTGATAGCCTAGGTAGCATATTTATACAAAAAATTGAAGATGCCAAAAGATCCTATTAAAGAATAAGCATTGGGAATTGTAGACATTAACTAAATTATATTTCCAATAACTAATACATAGCATAAAAATTACAAATGTTTCAATGATAATCTTTTGCAATTTCAAAGATCAGTCAGGGGTGTATCCATTTAGCTACTTTTCCTGTTTGATTGGTTTCGTCATTTTCGTTGAGGACAGTTGGACACTTTCAACATCTTCTACAACATCAGCTATTGTTCTTTTTGATGGCATCAGCCCCGAATTTGCAGATGAAGGATCTTAATCTGCAAATGCAGATAATGATTCCTGCAACCATATTTGAATCATTAATTAATTCATCTTAAATAGATTGCAATGCGGTACATAATGTGATTAGAGCTGAAACCGATTTCTTACAGAAATACTCCTCAAATCCTCTTGTGACGAAGGCTCCGAAATTCCAAGCTTCAATGTATGCTGCCAAGAGATAATCCAATTAGCAAAATATTTGTTCCTGAAATAGTGTTTAAACAATATAGTTAAATTAGGATGCAAATAAAACATACCTCTTCACATTTGAAGTTGTCCCGTATCTTCTTACGGGAATCGTCATCGTCTTTGAATTCAATAACGAATAGTCTGCCAAACTTTGACTAGAAAATAGCTCTAATAGCCAATTCTTTTTTCAGTATATCATCAAGTTCAAAAGGGAATTCCAAGGGATTGTCTTCACCAGCCTAAAATAATAACAACAACTTAATATAAACTTAAGCTACCCAAAATAGGCGTTGAATAAACAAAATCTACCTCTATTAGTTCTGTTTTCATTTGCAAAGCAGATTTTCCGATTAACTTCACAGTCCACGTCCCAAAAGACAAATTTGGCCTTGAATTTATCGTCAATTCCCATCACTTCAAGCTTGTACCTGTATCAAATATAGCTAAAACAACAGGATTCCATAGTGCACAATCACATAGGTAATTTTTACAAATAGTTTTAGATTTCAATGCTTCAATTGATACCTTGGTACCAGTTCAGTAGTTATATGATTCGCACAGCACTTCAGTTTTCCATCTTTAAGAGAAACACTTTTTGTACACCCATCATAATACCACCTAGCCTGACCAACCTCAAATTTATCCAACTTTGCAACAATGACACATGTTACCTCCTATGGAATGGAAATTCAAAATAAACATCAGACGAACGCATGTGTGGAATAAATAAAACACTTACGAAGAGATGACTTACATGTTGAAGACTCGTGATTTCGGCAAGACTAAGAATATCGACCTTCCATATAAACTTATCAAAGTCATAATGTTTTGAGTTTTGTGTCGTTTCAACTTACAAGCTCTTCAAAGATAACTTTGACAATTCAGCACGAAGACTGTGATATATACATTAAAGGAAAACCTTACATGGATTTGGATGCATTTAAAAATGATATCAAAATCCTACAAGTGAATAGGTTTATATTGATTTGAGTAATAACTATCTTTCTTTTAGCTTACTAATCTCAAGAAAGCTAACACCATTTATAGTTAGCTTAGTGTCATTCCATGCGTTGGATATATTCAACGGAAAACCTCCTTCAATATAGCAAAAATAAGACAGTTATAATGTAGTTAAAATAGAGATTGGCTAATATATTATCAAGGAAGATCTGACAGTAGTAAATAAATACTATAACAAACCCAATTAAAAATACTTTGGTTGCCCTTTATCCTTGCATTTTGCAATAGAACAACAACATTTCCTTCATCATTGTGACTCTTGTAATATTCGTAAAACTGCATAGCAAGTTGATCTCATAGGGTACATTGAACCAACGATTTGCTGCAAATACAAACAAATCCAACAAATATGAATGTAAATATGTAAACGCAAACAAAACTAAATAAAATGTTGTGATTTAGATTTACAATATGTAACACAACCTTGCTTTTGTGGTTTTCAATCTGAATTAAACATATAAAAAACATACAACATACCTCATGTCAATTATTATAAACAGAATCTTGCTTTTCTTGTTATCAACATTTATTTCAGACTGTAATATTTCAGTAACACCTCCAACAACGTCTAAAAATAAATAAATTATAAAGGTCACCATAGAGTTCATATATCAAATTAATAGTTAACTATAAAAAATAGAATAAACGAACCAACTAACAAATTAGCTTGAAACCTTCCATCAATTATGAATGTAAAATCAAGAATGTTAACATAATTTAAAGGGGTGTCTGGTATTTCTGATTTCTTAACATAAGATGAGCCACAAAAAACCAACTCGAAACCATGTAGTAGTTTTAAAAGAGAAATCGTTATTTGAAACCTTGAGATTTTGCATTATGTGTGAAATTTTATATGATTTAGGATAGTAGAATGAGGGAGATGAACCGTATCATAAATCAATATGTTTTGAAACACCGAAAAGAAATAATAGTGATTTTCCATTGTCTAACGTTTTGAAAAACAATTTCTATACAATATATTTTAAATATGATTTATAATACATATGACATTTATAATAATGAATTATGTCCTTAAAAAAATAAAAATTTAATCCCAAATTCTAATAAAACACCACATCACCAATATTAATTACCAAATCAATAAGATTTAAGTAAGGGTTTAAAAAATCCACTTTAACCCTGAGATCATAAAAATTTATACTTTATGATTAAAGGGTGTAAGTGGAAGTAACAAATCTTTAATTTTAATAGTTAGAAATTAAACTAAGTTGCCTTAACAAGAATAATTATATGATTGTAATAAAATATTTCTCTTTATGAATATGTTAAATAAATGCATGGTTGTAATAAAAAACATTTTCCTTAAAAAAATATCATTTCATATTAAGTGTTTTTTACATTAAATAATTAAGAATCTATTTCCCAAAATGACCTTTTTTGTTTTGTACTCTTTCTGGACAGAGTTTGAAAGTTGAAACTCATAAATAAGCACTGGCTACTGGCTAGTGTCCTCACACAGTTCAAAACAGCTTTAATTCAAAAACTTTTTTGTGCCTCTCTAGCTTCTTGAACCTCCTTGTTTTGCATTCAAACTTCTCTTGATGCTTTCAGATCCTTCAACTTCTTCTGTTATATCAAGGTAAGTTCTTTCCAAATTTCCTCATTAACTTTTTTTTTTTTCATTTTCATTTTCATTTTTCTTAGCCCTTTGACTTTGCTAACATTTTCACTACAGTTCTTGTTCTTCATGTGTGGTGTGATGATTTTTCTTTTTATATATTTTTATATATTTTCCTATTTTTTGTGTTTTTTTATTAGATGACCAACATGCAAATGAACACACATCTTGAGAATCATTTTTATGCCAAACAATGTCTTAAATCTCCTTAAATTGTTCCTATGAAATCTGCAGGATCATTGTTGTCTTGTCTTTTTGGATGTTTTTTTTTTTTTTTTCTTTCATTAATGATACATTAAAATTACTAATTATTCCTATTCAATTTTTACGATACACCTACTAAGTTATGTAACTGATGTAATGATTTAGCAATCACTAATATTATTAAATCATTTATTGAGAAAAAATTTATTTTATTTTTCAAATTCTCAAGTGCTTCTCATGATTAGAAATTTCCATTCTACATGTTTCTTGGTCTAGTAGCCTAACTAAAATGTGGCGAGTTCGAACTAATGTCTATGCGTTCTGATGTCTTGCACAGCTATCAACCGAGCAGACTTAGTCCTTCTGGCGTTCAAAGGAATATGCTGTATTTATTATACACATTATTCCATCACTTTTAACCGTGTAACCTCTAACTCAGTGATTAGTCTATGCAGGCGCGCAGAGGGAACCTGTTTTCTCGGAAAAAAAAGTAAATAATAAACTCTTAACTGTGACATGAATTCACAGCTTAACTACATGGATCTGAGTCTCTCTTCATTCATGAGTATGTTGGGGCCACTATGGTCCACTGCCACCTTTGCTTCATATAATAATGTAGGGTCTTGATGGTTTTGGTTTCCTAAAAGGAGGAGACAATTCAACAGAGAATGGATTTTCTACCAGCTTATTATTATTTTCTCATTTGAAAGTGGATACAGATAGAGTACTAAACAAAGATGTAAATTTTATAGAGATGAAAAACAAAAACAAATACAAAAATGTTGGTTTTATGTGGGCTCCAATATTGGTTTTTCAAATTTTTTTTTCTGGTCTGTGATGTTCAGTCTCCTCCACAAGTTTTTGAAATGACACAAGATCTTGATTTTGATTTCCTACAATAATTGTTTTACCTACTCTTCAACTAGACATTTTCCTTAAGGACAAGGTTGTTTGTGTTATAATTTATCCCTTTTTGTTATGATGTTTTTTCAGCTGAATCTGCTGTTTTTCGGTTCATCCTTGCAAAGTTTCTGAATCAAAAGAACTAACTACTTTACATTTCAAAACCACAAAGCCAAGGTAAAAAAAAAAGCACTTCTATAACTTGAGCAAGTATCTTGATTTCCTGTATTCACAATAGGCATGCCGAAGATCAACCAAAAGGATCAATCATACCCTTCACTAGTGGGGGCCTATTTAAAGCCAGAGGAAAGCTCTGTAGGGACTGGCCTAACACGGGAATTGTTAACACAGGATTTGAGAACCTTGAGAAGAGTACACTCTTAAGGTCTCGAATTTTCACCAACGAGCCAATCTGAGGTTCATACGGTTCATATTTTAAAAACATCTTAAAACTCGAGTCACCGATCTCAATCTAGTGGCTCTTATTGATTTACTGCTTCGACTGCACGGTATTTTGACCGCAGTAAATCTATTTTCCTATTGGAGTTGTACACATGTATACTTCATTATGCAACAACTTGAATGTGTGGTGGGCCTAATGCAATTTATGGGAAAGTGAAAGAGTTACTTATTTTCTAGTACTGTATCAGGTTGCACATATGCATAGGGTCACATAAATTATTTTTTCCTTTAATGGCCTGCTAGGATTAACTCATTTTAAAACTCTATAGATTGTGTACAGGCACGCAGTCAATCACATCTGAATCGTCTGATCAAGATCAAACAGTTCAAATTTTCACGTAAAATTTTGGACTTATTTATTTACAGCACTTACTCACTGATAAAAAAAGCAAAAAGCACTGCATAAAGTTACCTCTGACACTGCAAGCTTTTGCTCTTGAGGGTGGTGGTATTAAAAGCATACTTTTATTGCATGTCATTGTTTTGAACACAGGACCATTGTGATGTGGGACATATCTTTATTCACTAGTGTTTTATTCTTGATTTTTCCAAAAGGGTCATCAATGCAATGCCTTTCTAGTTTTTCTAGTGTAAGATAATTCTTGATTTCTTCAGTTTAAATCAATTACTAGTACTACCTTTTTAGTTTATCAGTCACATTTCTTGTGAGTTGGCTTATTTATGACACATAGCTATTCATGTTTTCCTTTTGTCTTTCAATCTCTTCTTACACACCTAATTTAAGAGCTTAATTGTGACATTAACTTGAAAAGGGTCCATTTTGTCTCAACTCATGTGTGTGTGCTAGCTATGTTAGTGTTCACTTTATCTTTCATTTGAATGTTGCATTTTTTGTTAACTTTAACAGGTGAGTGAGATTCTCTTTTGAAGTGTTGTTTGTTCTATCACTTTCTATCATCAAGCTTATCAAATGCCAAGATCAAGGTATGTATGTATGTTAAACTTTTTGTTATAATATGTAATCATGTTGTAAAACACGTGTTTCGGTTGACCGTGATCTTGGTTTTTTGAAACTCGAAGTGATTCCAAAGATGCTGATATGTTTAGTTTTTATATGTAATGGTTGTTTTTTTTTCCGAATAGGGGATCTGATTTGCCTCAGAGGCAGTCACCGAGAGGTACTACTCATCAGCTTCGATCATCGAGTTCTGACTCGGATCCATTGCATCATCGACCAGTTACTGATCGAAGTCCAAAGCTAGGAGAGCGGCGTTCTCCGAGAGGTAGTACTCAATCGGAGACGGTGAATCAGAAGAAGCTCGGTACTCGCATTGCGGATTTGGAATCGCAGCTTGGTCAGGCACAACAAGAGTTGAAAAACTTGAAGGATCAGCTGTCTTCTGCAGAAGCTGAAAAGAAAAAAGCTGAAGATGAACTTGTCAAGAAAAGTGTTTCAAAGAAAGCTCAAGAATGTGATAATAACAAAGGTGAAACTAAACAACAAGATGTTGTTAATGTTATTGTACCTGATGAAAATCAAGAAGAGACCGATGTGTTTGAAGTTCCGATCGAAAAGTTGGAAATCGAATTCAGAAAGCCTGAAGATCAGTTAGAAAAGGAAACCATATCAGAGTCAGAGAAGCCTTTTGTGAATGAACTGACGATGAAAAACGAAGAGATAACGTCGTTGAAATCGAGTTTGTTAGAGAAAACGAATGAGTTGGAATCAATGAGTAAGGGAAACGATGATCTAAAGACTCAACTGAAGGAAGCAGTTTCGAAAGTGAAAGCTTATGAAACCAAGGAAGAAGGAACTACACTGCAGGTGAAGCAATTGAGTGAAGAGTTGGAAGCGAGTAAAGGGAATGCGGAGAAACTGAACATGAAGTTGAAATCCGTGGAAGAAGAAAAGGAGTTGTTAGAATCCGAAATGAAGAAGCTAAGAGTGCAGACAGAACAATGGAGAAAAGCAGCAGATGCTGCAGCTGCAGTGCTTGCAGGAGGTTTTGATATGAGTGCTGCTGCAAGGGCTCCGGAAAGGTGTGGCTCGATGGATAAGAACTTCGTTGGTGGAACATTCGAGACGCCTGGTGTTGGAAGGTATCATGGATATGTAGGTTCTCCTGGTATGAATGATGATTTGGACGACGGTTTTGGAGGTGGAAAAAAGAAGGGTTCTGGTATAAGAATGTTTGGTGACTTATGGAAGAAGAAAGGCCAAAAGTGAGATTTCTGATTTCTGCAACTCTTGGATTCACGACACAATCATTGCGTGTCACCGTGATTCTGACAAAACGGTGTCTTCGCGGTGAGATTCTGTCTAGTATTTTAACTATGGTCATGTTTAGAGGTGCAAAAGGAAACAGTTGCTTACTGATATGTGTATGCATTTTTTCTGCTATCTTGTTTAGTTGTTTGTTTTGTATTATAATGTGGCCATTAAGTGTGTACTGTTGTGTTACTATTGCATGATCAGTGCAAGGTGGTGATTTGAACTTTTGAAAGATGGTTTGTGTAATGGTTCTTAGTTAACTTTTCAAACTGAGGTGAAGGGTTTTTAAGCAAATTTTATAACTTCATTCCTTTGAGGTAATATCTTTAACATATTCATTGGTTTTTGTTCACTATGTGTCGGTGAGTCCTATGTAGTTTGCAAATGATGGAGGAGAAGCTCTAAGAAATCACCTTGAAATGATAGTTTGTTTTTTTAATGACTTTATCATGATAGATGAAATTATGAATATAATTACTCAAAAGGTGAGAGTGAGATATTCATAAAGTAATAATAAAGTAATTGTCCAACTTCTTATTTTGATTCAAAAAGATTTCAAGTATAAATTTTAACCGTATTATTAAATTTGTATAAATATATGAAATAAAAAAGTAAGAGAGATAGAGAACCATTGATATCCAATGTTAAATATTGAATGTTCAAATAACACTTTTCCTTTTAAGCGTATTATTAGAATTTGTATAAATATAAGAAATAAAAAAGTAAGAGAGATAGAGAAACATTGATATCCAATGTTAAATATTGAACATTGATAGAGGGTTTTTTTCACCACAAGTGTTCTTTTCACATTCTTGTAAAAATCCCAAAAATGTCTTATATTCAAAATTATATTTTTGAATGCATTCAAATTTCAGAAAAAATCTAGAAATATATTTTCAAAAATAGTTAGAGTCTAAAAAGTCAAAAACATATGCAAAAACAGATGCTGAAAATGTAATATAAATTAACGTCAATCATTGTTATGACATACATTGAAAACAAAATTGCATAGATAATTGTTAACGTAACTAACAATATATTTCATTATCAAGTAGGATGTTTCAACATCTTCAGAATATCTTCGATCGATCTCGCAATCTTCGCATCCACTGCGATCAAACCTTTTGTTTCATAACGGTGAAATATACTCCACATAACAATAAAATCTTCGTCCGTCTTTAGCTCAAACTTGTTGAAATGTATCTTCCCTTTGTTGTCAATTGAGAGTGAACGGTAATAAAACACAACTCTTCAATTGTTTGTATAGATACTCTCTAGTAATGATTTTAGATTGACAAGACGAGTGATCTCTATGAACCTAAATTAAAGAGGAGGCTTCTCTCTGTTGAAATAGACAAAATCGAGAAATGCATATTGAGACATTTTGTGTGTGCGTTTGTGCTAACAAGTATAGTGGCACCCATATTATACAAGTTTTAGATTAATATGAACCTTAGAAATTTAATCCTGACTCAAAAGGTATTTCGGAGATGTACTTTCAAATACATCTTATTTTATTAAAATTAGGGTGAGACCTGAAATGTATTACCGAGTAAACCCCTAACAAATGGTGAAAGTTCCACAAAGTCAAAGGACACTGAACTGAGAACTGCTATCAATTCAAGAACGAGATAAAGCGTCGGACCCAAGAAGGTTGTTTAAAGAAATATGTCAAGAGGGACTCTGTTCAAAGGCCATGCCAATTAAACTCTCTAAGAGAGAGATGCTTCAGAGAGTCCCAGATCTAAAAAGAACAAAAAACCAAGAAGGGTGGGGACATAACTGTATGCCTCGCCTTTAATACCATCGCGGGAGGATTCACCAAAGACAAGGAGACCAGTTCCTCCCGTAGAAGATACACTCGTCAAATCCTATCCATCGAAAGATCACCCACCAGCTCATATTTGGGCGAGATGAAAGTCTTAGAATCTGAGATCTCCTTTTTTGAGAAGGACATTATTGTGAGTGCAACTTTCCTCAAGATGTATTTTGCATGATGTCAAAACTACAAGAAAAAAGCATTTATGTATATTGAGCGATATCTCTGAGTTTGGGTGGCACCCTACACATTTAGAGGTCTTAGAAATCATTTGAAACATAGTAAAAACTGATCCAGTCTTGAAAAATCACTTTCTGCACTAAAAACACATATACAGGCAAACTTATAACCATTACAGGCCGGCACATGTACTGCTCTAGATAAGCAGATAGCCTTTGTTTGTTTCAGGCTGGCTCATAGCAATTTCAGGGCAGCACATGTACTGTCCTAAATAAGGAGTTCTCTTCTATTTGGTTTAGGTCAGCTCATAGTCCATTTCAGACCGACTCATACTGTTAAAATTAACACTACGAGCCAACTCATTCAAGCTACAGGCCGACTCATACTATTTCATGGGTTAAATTTTCTAATTTTCTTTTAATTATGAATTTTCCTCTTTTTCTCTAATATTTCTATAACTATAAATACATCCTTCATACATCATTACAACTTAATGATACCATAAAATTAGCCTATATTTACTCTTCATCTTTAACCTCCAATCTATGCATACACACTAACATTCTATTGTAATGATCTTTTGTTGGGGTGCCATCTAGACGAGATTTGATAACGTCTAATTAGATTCTTGTGTATCTGAGAATATTGGGTTGATATTTATAGGGGTCTACATCCGGAAAAAACGCGGGTTTATCCTCCAAGACCAGTGATTGATTTGGGGGTTTTCATGCAAGACATTCAAGAGAGGATTGCGGCCTAGTGAAAGTCTTTGAAGATAAAGAATGCAAATGATCCTTTGAAGATAAATAACATGAAGAAAGTAGCACGAAAACGAAGAATCAAATTAAAGTTTTGTGTTACAATAGGTACAATTGGTGGTGCGCAAAACCTTTGGAGATAAAGTACGCAAAGGAGTAGTAAGATCCAGATAACCAATTGATAACTATTGTGCCTTGGTCTTTCTCAAGATCAAAATAAGAGAAGGGGTTGAATCAAAAACAAACAATAGGGTTTGTAGAGTTTCTCTTGAAAGCTTCTCTTGTATAAACTTTTCGCATTGTAGGAATTATCCTAATTCCTTTAAAATTAGGCGCACACTTACCCACACACGAGGATGAAAGTGGGGAACTATGAATACAAATCCTCATATCTTTTTTCTCTTATTGCTTTACTTGCTTTATTTCTCATACATCAACTTGTCAAATAGAATTGAGTAATCTATCGATGCGTAGGAATTTTCTGATACTGTTTTTGGTTTGAATTATGTGTTGATTTACTTATAATCACTTTTGATTATAAGTGATTTTTCATATCAACGTAACTCAAAGGAAAATTATGACTTTGACAGCACACCGAGTGTTTGACAAATTGTGTATCTTGTTCAACTCAAAGGAAAACTCTGAAAAATTTGATGCACGCCAAGTGTTCGATAAATTATTTAGTTTAGTCTTTTGATTGTTTTAATTGGAAAGAGTATTACTAGTAACTTTTTACAAACGATTGATAACATGTTACTTGATTAAAGTTCAATTAATTCAAATAATCATATTCATTCCATTTTCAATTTGTTATATATTTGCATATCTGAGTTTCTAATAACGGTTCGTATAGACGACTTATTTTGAAAACCTTCCGCTCAACTCTTTCTTAAATAAATATTAAAAAAAATTCTGGAATTTTAATTGGGTATCTATTCACCCGCTCTAGATACGTTGTCATCGTCTAACAAGTGACATCAAGAGCCTGATTTATTCCAGCTTTGACACTCATTAGAAAATGGATTATGAGCCGAAAGAGCCTCAATTTTCACGGGAGAAAACTATAGTTATTGGAGATCTTGCATGAAAATTCATGTCAACTTATATGACAAAGGTGTGTGGGAAGCCATTCAAAATGGTCCAACACCGGTGACATATGTGGTTGATAATGTTACCGTACCACAGCCATAAAGTTTATGGGATGAGAATGATAATATGAAGTGGGCCCATGATTAGAAAGCAAAAAATATTATCATATCCGCTCTTGGAGTTGATCAGTTTTATCGCATTTTCCATTATCAAACCGCTAAAGCTATGTGGGACACTCTACAAGTTACCTATGAGGGAACTAATGAGGTCAAACAAGATAGGATTAATACACTTAATCAAGAGTTTGAACTCTTTCATATGAAGCATGGTGAAACCATTGCTCAAATACAAAAGTGGTTCTCACATCTTAATAATCGTTTAAACTTACTAGGTAATCCTATTTCTAATGCTATTGTAACTAACAAGGTTTTGAGATGTCTTACTAGGAATTGGCAACCAAAGGTCACCACGATCCAGGAAGCCAATGATCTTACAACACTTGATCTCACCGCCTTGTTTGGAAAGCTAAAAGAACACGACCAAGAACTCAATTGCTTAGAAAAACATGAAAAGAAGGTAGAGAAAAAGAAAAAAAAGGATAAAGACATTATTTAGGAGGAAGTATTGAAGTATAAAGCTCTCAAGGCTTCAAGTTCAAAGTCATTAAAAGAGGAGCGCACTAATGATAATGATTCTAGTGATGAAGAAAATTCCGATGATGAACAAATGAGATTAATTTTTAGGAGATACAATCGATACATTCAAAAGAATGGTGTCAAAAACTTCGACAATAGAATTGTGAAGTTTAGAAGATAATCCATATCCTCTAAAGATGAAGACAATAAAAAGGATAAATGAAAATGTATATGATGTGCGGAAAGTCAGGTCATTATAGACCGGAATGTCCATCTCTTGCCAAAGAAATAATTCTAGGAATTCTAGAAAATCCTATGTTGCTTGAGATAGTGATAGTGATGTCTCAAGTAATAAAAGCTCAAGTGATAGTGATGAGAAAGAAAACTATCATTTCATGGAAAATCAACGTCAAGGAAAGAAAAATAATGAAATTCATTCTAAATATGCTAATATTGATAACTTGTCCTTTATAG